AAATTTAACAAAAAAAAAAAAAAATTAACAATGGATCCTCTGCAGTGAATGGGTGCCATCAGAATGAGAGTCAAACCAGCTGATAAAAACCAAGCGGCAACCTTCCGGTCTCTCTCTTGAAACAAACACGGAAGTGACTTCAACTGCAATTCATCAACTGGCCACTAGAGGCTGGCTCCAAAAGAGTCAATCCCATAGAATGCTCTTCAGAAACCTACGGGTGACATCACGGACACTACGTCCATGTTTTTATACAGTCTATGATTAAAACACAATCCACACGACTCCAGTCCATCAATTAACATCTTGTGAAGTGTGTTTTTGTAAGAAACAAATCCATTATTAAGATTTTACTTCAAACCATTGTGTTAGGCTAAAATATGAGTCCTTAATCCATGATGACGCTTCCTCCAGTGAAAAAGCCCATCCCCTGTTGTCCTCTCACACCAAAATATTTGTTTGGAACCGTTCTGGCTTGTAAACGGTGCTTGATCTATGCAAATTTCTCTCCTGATTCAGACGAGACAATATATTCACTGGAGAACGCAGTATTATAGATAGAGGACTCGTATTTTAGCCAGAAGCAGGATTTTGGAGTTGAAATGTCTTAAAGGGGTCATATGACGTTGCTAAAAAGAACATTATTTGGTGTATTTGGTGTAATGCAATGTGTTTATGCAGTTTAAGGTTAAAAAAACACATTATTTTCCACAATGTACATTATTGTTTCTCCTCTATGCCCCGCCTTTCTGAAACACATTGATTTTTACAAAGCTCATCGGTCTGAAAAGCGAGGTGTGCTCTGATTGGCCAGCTATCCAGTGCGTTGTGATTGGCCGAATACCTCAAGTGTGTGACAGAAATTTTACGCACCATACCATATTGTGATGCCGTGTCCCGGCGCGACGAGACAAAACCAGTAAAACCCATTATAAACGAGGCATTTGTTGCATCCAGTGGGGATGCCCCACTTTATAGAAACAGACATCAGTTGTATGTTGTGTATAGCACTGTAGGCTACTCTCCCAGGAAACAGTCCTTGTCCTCCATAAAATGCGCTGCACACATCTGAATATTTGGGTTGAACTGTTCCGGAACAGTGTTGTAAATATAACTTAACCACTGATTTCTAGTCGTGTTCTCTTTTGGAAGGCCAAACAAAGTAGTTTCGCTTTCACAATGAAACACACAGCGTCTTCACAACATGGCGGCGGCGGCAACAACAATACTACAGCAAGAATCGAAGTTCTTCTTCTTTCTTTGCGTGAACATTTGGGCGGCGTTATGCAAATCTTCCCAGATCGTGACGTAGATATGTGGGGGCGTGTTAGAACGAGCCGTTTTAGGTAGGCGTGGTTGACTCTTAACTTTTATAAAGAATATCTCTTTGGATTTGAGACTTTAGTCTTTGCAACTTTACAGATCTTCTTTATGCACCAAGAGCTTGTAACACTCCAAAGAGAAAGGAAAAATTTAAATCGTATATGATTTTGTATACGAAATCGTATACGATATTGATATATGAAAACATATGACCCATTTAATGATGGATTTGTTTCTTACAAACACACAGCTTTTCACTTCACAAGACATTAATTGATGGACTGGAGTCGTGTGGATTTCTTGTGGATTTTTTTGATGTTTGTATCAGTTGTTCGGACCCTCATTCCGACGGCACCCATTCACTGCAGAGGATCCATTCGTAAGCAAGCATTGTAATGCTACATTTCTCTAAATCTGTTCCAATGAAGTAACTCATCTCGAACTTGGATTGCCTGAGGGTGAGTACATTTTCAGCAAATTTTCATGTTTGGGTGACCGGTTCCTTTCAAACGGGAGCATTCCTTCAAAGGTAGATTTGCACATTTACCTTTAGGGTCTTCCAGCTCTCTGGAACACACTTCTTTAACTCTGGCAAGGAGCGGAGGCCCAGCTAAGCGTCTGGACACTCCCGCTCTGAGCAAAACAGCCCCTGGGGTGAATCGGAGAAGAGCTGCCCCAGGAGTTCTGGGCTCCTGTTTTTGCTTGGGCATCAAACTGGACCAATCTACATCAATCACATCTAGAGGCCCTGAAACAGAACATGCAAATGTCATATTATAAACAGTTGGGATATGGGATATAAATTTGGGGATGGAAAGACAAGAATAGCGATATGTCTTAGTGTGACGATTAAACTTCAAAAGGCTGTGATTTCACTGAATAAATATGATCGCTCCTCGTTTCAAAGTCAGCTGCTGCTGTACAGCAGTTACCGGGGAAACCGCTTTATTTATGCCATTCCAAAAGCGACCTCCAGCTGGCAGAGAATGAATTTACATTTTCAATAAGCCAGTCTGCTGTTTTTGTTCAGATCAATGTGAAAATCAGCCAATGTTTTTACGCAGAAAACATGCAGAGTTGTAAATGTGAACTGGAACATCGACAAGAAGATAATGCATTATAAAAATATAAACAATTAAGACAGTATTGTAACATTTATATGTCATTTAATTAATATAGTGATTGATAATAATTGTTGAAATTAATATAACTGATACTTTTGACAAAAAAATGAAATGTGAAATTTATTTTATAAAACGTTTAGTTTTTCTGAAAACCTGTATCTGAACTGTAAATCATGCTTTTTACAGTCATTTTGTGAAGGGGCCCGTTCTTCGTACGTCGCTTATTAAATCTGAGATGAAATGTCACATCCAAGATGATATCGTGCTAATCAGGATCTGGCTAATTCGGTTCTTCGAACGCAGCTGTAGTTGATGATTAGTATGGCTGGATTGAGTTATCTGAGATAATTGCGCGTTCATGGGTTGGTTTAAAAGGGGCTATGTATAACGCAGCTGTTGTTGATGATTAGTATGGCTGGATTGAGTTATCTGAGATAATTGCGCGTTCATGGGTTGGTTTAAAAGGGGCTATGTATCGATACTCGACACCACGATCAGCAATGCAGCGATTTGCTGGCGGCAAGACAGCAACGTAATGACATCATATAATAAAAAAAGACACCTGACGAAAAACTTGACACATTTTTGGACTTCTATAAAGAAACAGCCAAGTGAACAAAACTACATAAATGTTATAATAGATAAATGAAATGTGCACTGTTTTTATTTTATTTAAATTTTTTACATGATTCCCAATTATTTATATTCAAGATTTCTAATATTTGTACAGGCTTTACATTGTTATTTCAATGTAGTAATTAGCAATTCATTTAATTTTATATTTGAACAGATTTGTTACGTGACTGTCAGTATTAATTAAAGCTTCTTAAGGGTTAAGATCATGTTATCTGCATCTCCTGCGCTCCATCAAGCCACTCCCATAATAGCTGTCATCACTCAAATTAATGCACGACTCTACATTATCTGTATAGAATGTGTGTAAGACTCGAAAACAATTATGAAGTAATAATTTTATGATGAATAAATCTTTCAGTGAGCAAAACTCGCTGTGTCTATAGTATTAACCCTTGTGCGTCAATTAAAAAAAGTTACACATAGGTCCATAGTGGACAAAAATGTCCATGTCAAAAAACTGTCATAAAAATTTGAAGCTAGGGAGCACAGAGTTAAGTTTGGTCTCATTTTAAAGAAGACCCATGGCAGATTATTGTTGAAGTAACAAAAGTTTAAAAAGTGAAACCAAAAAAAAAAACGTTCTAGATGTTTAGGTTTATGAAAATGATTTATGAACGATGTTTTATATAAAATATATATTTTATGAAACATGTTGAACTCTATACCTGCTAGAAAATCAAAGCCATAAATCTAAACAAGTTGTATTCCAAATTTGAGGTTGATATCTCAAAAAATGAGCTTTCAGTAAGATTTTGTTTGGGCGCAGTACCAAATTTTCCCCATTAGATGCCAGCAAAACTCTGCTGGTGCACACAGTGGTTGGATTTGTGATTTGCAGTAGAATTTTTCTCTCTCAAATATTACAAGAACACACACGCACACAAATTATTTTTTTTTATGACATACATACAAACCACACTCTGACATCCATACCAACACACCCACACAATTATAGCTGCATTATTTATCCAATTGGCTCTATAATATGCAGAAGCAGAAAACAGAAATAAAGCGAGTATTTTCTTTATAGGTCAAACCTGAAAAAATGGCACCATCTGGTAAAAAAATAGTAAAAACAATTAATTTGAAAGCCTTGCCAATAGAATGAAAGCCTATCAACAAAAAATGCATAATTTTACAGTTAAATGGCACTGCGTTTAAAAATAGCAGTTTTAATGGGTTTCAATGGGGACATTTTTGTCCTTAAGGTCCTGAGAGGAACAATTTTTTTGTACCTAGTGCAAAACAGATTTATTAAAGGAAATGGAAGTGAAATAGTAAAATTCCAATAAAAATACACACCTGTGCCAAAATTTATGCAGTTGGCAATAACACAGGCAAAATGATAAAAACAAAAAAAACTGAAAAGGGCAAAAATGTCCAAAAGGTCGCACAAGGGTTAAAGACTACACAACATTATTATATTATCTTTAAAATAATTTTTAAATTAATATTATTTAAAATTATTGTCCCTGGATTAGTAGGGTACTCTAGTAATAAAGTAGCGGTGGTAGCGGACAGATTTTAAGTTTCAATTCTGCTTAAAAAGATGCAATCTAATCCTGTTTACATGAAATAAGCCTGCTCCCGAGCAGGTTTAAGCTTACGGACCTGTTGCTATGACAGCAACTACGGGATGAGCTTCGAAGAACCAAACAATCCAAGATCATGCCAAATCGTCAACGATCAAATCCAGCTAACTGAGTTAGCGACGTACGAAGAATGGGCCCCAGGTCTTAAAATGTATTAAATATGCGCTTAAATATCCTGCAGATACCCTGGTCTGGCAAAAACTGTCAATTCACATTTTTAGGTATATAATTGTCTGGATCTCGGCTGGTGAGGAGGGTTCATTACTGGACCTCAAGCAATTTTAGTTGAAGACCCCTGGGATAGAGGAATTTTCAGACTGTGATTACACAGTTTCTGCTTATGTCTTTGTCAGTGTGTGTATTATTCTGTCAAAATTAATTTAATAGACTGTTCAAAATGAAAGTTACATATGGCCAGAGCAGATTTTTTATTTTTTGGCTAGAATGTCCACATTCATTGTTATAGTCACAATGCAAATTTGATCATCGACTATATTTTTCAATGATATTTTTCATGAGGGCCGTATCCAAATCTGAACACATGCATTATGCAGATAACAATGATAAACATGCCAAAAGGAGGCATATGCAATTTTGCTGCCTTTGTCACTGCAGACACATGCATTTGAAGTGTTCTTGACCTGATTTAACAATCCATTTCAGCAATTACAAAAAAACAAAACGACTTTGTGAGACAATGGTGGGTGGACCTCAACCCCTCTACATAGGTAAGGAGTTATGCTTCCCCAGAAGAACATTTTGAACATTTTAAAATTAAATGCATTAATCTGGTGCATTGTGATAGCAAAGTTAAAAAATCCAAATTAAGAACTTTTGAATGGAGTAATAAAAAAAGTCTTTGCATTGACTTCCAGTGGACTTAGTTGTGATAGTGTCTCAGTCCACGTTGTTGTTATTAAAATAAAAAGAATATTTAATGAAAAAGAAAATAATATTTCATGGTAAGTATATTCATTATTTTACAGTATTTAACTTACAATATGTATGTTTTTCTCCACAGTTTCTTCACATTAAATCCTCAAGCTTTTATTTTGGTGTAAAACTACCCTTTAAGTTTCTCTGACAACAGGTTTACAAATTGGGACCATCCCAATTTGAAAGTACAGCATAACTTGTGCATGTTGCATTCATAAAAGCAAGTTAAACTCAGTTCATGCAGAGATGGTGTTCACTGTATTTACTGTGAACCAAGTCGTGCTTCACCCTGAAACACAGAAAACATCTGACTCTATATTTACATCGCAGCCTTTTTTGTTAAGCAGTTTAAGCACACCAAGCCAAATCAGGATTTTAATTTAGTATGATTGACAGATCACTAAAAGAAGTGTAAAAATATATTCAGTTCACTGTGAAATTGTGGTGGGACAGATTAGACTGTGGCAGGACATTTGATTGTGGTTTAAAGTCTGTGTAAAGAGATATTAAATGCGTGTTCTGAGTTTGTCACACCACAGAAAAATGTGTTATTAACCACCCAGCCAAATTTGAATGATAAAAAAAACCGCCAAGTAAATAAAATAAGGCATCAAAATCTTGAAAAAATAAGCAGTATTCTCTGCTCTCAAACACTGGGGGCGTGTCCGCTGGAAACCACGCCCACTCACGGGAAAGCTGTTTTCTCTCTCAACGGTCAAATGCTAATAAATTTAAATAAGGAGACTGAGCTGTTTTGTAAATTATCGCAACCAGGTATTATGCATTTACGTGACGAAGGCATAGCTAGCTAGAAAACTGTAGGCTGTCGTAACTAACGGTAATGACAGAACTCACAATTGAGCGGGTAAACCGCTTATGCTAATGTGCTCCAGTTATTAGGTGTGTTCGACTTGAAGTGGCGCTGTGTAGAACATCAGCATATGACATCAAAGTATTGCAAGAGGAATTCGAAAGCAAGGAGCCGTCTGCTCTCTATAGCTCTCACTGTACTTTGATGTCACACACCGATCGGTCTGTGCAGCGCTGCTTCAAGTCGAACACACCTCTTATTATAGTGTTAGGGGAGGGGTCATGCTCGGTGGCTCAATTGCGTCATCGAGTCATGATTTTAGCCCCGCCCAAAAAAACCTGAACACGAAAATTGTGAAAGACTGTTTTAACAGTCTAATTCCACAATTAAGGACTACATAGTTCACAGTCTTTGTAACATGTTTCAGCAATGCATTTCTAACATTTATAATGCGTTTAGAAACAATTCTCAGAACTGACTTTACACAGATTTTAAATGCGTCTTCATGGGATCCTGTTTTAAGTGGTGTTATGTACCAGAAATCTTTTCATCATCTTGCTGTTCGTCCCTCTTTTGACTGTCAGCCAGAATCTCGTCCAGTTCATCATCACTGATTGGCTCATACTCCTCACCATCTGAGACAGCAGACTGTGCATCATCCCCCTTTCCATCCTCCTCTTCTGAGAGATAGACATATACACACATTAAAAAACAAAATCTTCTTACACATCAGGCAATAATTTGAGAAATGGTGAGAAAAAAAGACCTACCATCAAGACTATCCATTTTGGGTTCAGATGCTTCCACTTGCAGGTGTGAGTTGTCGGCTGGCTTATCTACATCCATGAGGGCTTCTCTGGGTAACAGAGGCTCATACTCTCCCCTCTCAATCTTAGTTTCAGATCTGCTCTTTGGTTCCCTGTGAGCCTGAAGGTCAAACGGAAGCATCATTTCCCGTTCGCGCTCACGGTCCCTTTCACCATGCTCACGATCCATTCGCTCATGTGCCAGCAACCCTTCAGGTAAGAGTCGTTCCCTCATCTCCCACAAGTCTCTCTCTCTAATTGGCTCACGGTTGCCACGGAGGAGGGGCTCTCTGCCCCGCCCGCCCCACTCACGAGGTTCTGGGTCCCAGTCTCGCTGTTGGGTTTGTTGAGTTTGCATCTGACGGTGATCCTTTTTCTCACGCTCTCGATCCAACTGATCACAATCTCGTTCCCGCTCACGGCTGTCGTAGGAGCCGGCTCTGGAGCGAGCCTGACGCTCAGACTCTGGTGAACTACGACGAGAACTGTGACTCCGGGAGTCCTGTCGGTCTGTGGAAGCCGATAAATGTTTACATATGTATTATATAGAACTCAAAACTTTAACTTTACAAGTTACAAAAAAAAAAAAGAAAAAGAAAGACAATACCAACTGCTTAGGAATTCTTTAACACATCATCCAGAGCACCAGAGTTAAGATACACGAATATATTTAATGGACTTATTGCATTTTGCATTCATATTGCATTTAGAATATTTTCAATACCAACTTACTGAAAATGATGATTTGCATTCAAAACCTCTAGTATAAAAAACTTTTACTAGAAATGCCTTAAGGAATTAATAAATGCGTATAATACAACTACTTAAAACATATTAGTATTATTAGTAGTAGTAGTTCTTATACACATCATTCAACTTAAATGTAATATAAAATAATATATTTAACAATAACACGAACAAAAATTCTTGAAAACTCCAAGCTTTTACAAGTAGTCTCACCTGAGGAAGTACTTCGACTGGGTTCTCCTCTCCGGAGCTGATCAATCCTCGACTTCCTCTCTCCTCCCATCTGTTCACTGGCCGCTGCCCTCTCCCTGTCTCTCTCCCTCTCTCGTTCCCATTCCCTCTCTCGCTCTCTCTCCCGAGAATTGCCACCTTGCATGAGTCCTCTGCGGGGCCTGAGTCCCTGAGGGCCTTCATCACGGTGGGCCGACTCATTGGAGGGCGAGCGTAGCCTTCTCGAAGATGCACGGCTTTGGTTGCTGCCCATGCTACTGCTGCGCTGCATGTCTGCTTGGGGTGGTTTACGCAGCATGTGTTGTGGCAGTAATGGTTGTAAAGGAAGAGACTGTATCAGCATTGGAGGATCAGGGAGCAGCGGGGCGATGGGGGGGTCCGTACGGTCCCGGCCGCCACCACGTGCACCCCTTCTAGGGGGACGTTCAGAGGGAAGCAGCCGCTCCGGAGGCCTATCGGATGGCAGGGAGGCAGAAGTCGTCTCGCCTCGCTCTGGTACATCCTCATCAGACCAGTCACTGAAGTTGGCATCCATTTTAGCAGAGAGAGAACTCTGTCCAGCCATTAAAGCCCTCTGGGAAGGAAGGTCATCCTTGTTGATTGGCGGAGGTGTACGTGGGCCTCGTCGCCTCTTGCTGAGGGGACGCTGGGCGACCAGCTCATCCTCAGATACATCTGACTCAGGACCCAGTGAGCGCTTGCGCTTCCTTTCTAAGGCTTTCTTCTTGGCTGTCTTGCGAGGTGACAGGAGAGCCTGGGGGGCTTCAGCTACAGAGGAGGAGGATGGGGGCTCGGGGTTACTACGGTCCCCCCCGCCAGATTCCTCCTCTTTACGGTTCTTCTTCAGATTTTTCTTCTGAGATTTAGTCTTTTTCTTCCCCTCTTCATGAACGGCTGATAAAGAGTCTCTGTCCTCTATGGAAGGAGGAGGAGGAGTGAGGGTGGCATTAGGGAGGTCCCTCTGCTCTTTTCCCCTTCTAGAGTCAGAAATGCCCGTAGCAGAAATGTCTGGAGCATGTTCTTCACGTCGCTCTGCTCCTCTTCCTGCTCCTCTCTCAGCACGGGAATCCCCCTCCTCGTGTCGGCCACGGCTTTCTTTTTTATCCACACGACGGTCATCATCCTTCCAGCGGTTGTGTTTATCATCAGTAAAGGAGTGGGCAGGCGAGCGGGCAGTTTCTTGAGGACGAACCACTTGACTCAGCAGTCGGTGCTTATCGCCTGAAACAAAACCATACATGTTATGTCCAAATATTGTGCATGTGTGCACAATAGACCTATGAGGAAGGTTACACCAAGTGCTAATGGGTGTAACCATAACCTTGCTCAGTTGAACTCCTACCTTTCTCCTCAGTGCTGTTGTAACCGTCACTGTCTGCAGGGCTCACATCTCGACCTCTTTTAGGAGATGGTCGTGGACTGGGAGTATTCTCAGCACGATGTCTCTTACGACTGCAAACAAAGTGAAGGGCAAACAATATTGAACACCTGAGAAAATCTCTAATGTCAAACTGTTTATAACATGTACACTAGCGTTCAAACGTTCTGGTCTGTAAAATTTCTTAATGTGTTTCAAAGAGGTCTCTAATACTCGTCAAGGCTGCATTTATTTGATCAAAAATACAGAAAAACAGTAATATTATGAAAAATATTACTACAAACTGTTTTCTATGTAAATACAGGTTAAAATGTATTTTATTCTGGTGATGTGAAGCTGAATTTTCACCAACCATTACTCCAGTCTTCAGTGTCACATGATCCTTCAGAAATCATACTAATATGCTGATTTGCTGCTCAAGAAACATTTCTTCTTATCATCAATGATGAAAAATCTGAAGTCTTTTGTAAAATCCACCCCCCAAATTACCCCTCACCCCAAAGTTTTGAACGGTAGTGTAAATGTACTACCAGCTGAACAATATCATGAAATAATCTGCATTATTAAGTGATTTCAGAGCTTATAGATTTCGATTTATGGGTATACATCCATCTCTCTATCACCATATATATTACAATTAAAGCTGAAGTCCACAAGACAATCTTTTCAACACTCTACAGCTAACCATTAAGTTGCAAAATGGCACAAATGAGGTTCTGACTTGTGTTCATATGAAATAGGAAAGCATGATATATTAATAAAATATACTGGTTATCGGCTGCCATTTAAAAGATTTTATTTATTGGTATCAGTTAATATTAGATACATAACTCTTATGTCTCATATTTTACATTTCAATTACCTTTGGAGTCAATTAATGCTGAGTGCTTTAAAGTTACTCTTTAAAAACAGTAATCTTTTGCATATCTCAAAATCAATATCCATATTTTTATACTGAAATTTGCAATGCTGTGACATCTAAATTCAGTTGTAGAATTTAAAATTTTAGTTTGTATGTTTTATTTTTTAATGTAGTCAAAATAGATTAATTTAAAAGGCCAATAATGTGAAAAATAATTATTGTCTAATCTTTATCAGTCAGATAATATTTTCAACATCGGTGTTCCCTTAGTATGAAAAGAAAGAGACTGCAAAGTGATTAAGCAGCACCAGTATGTTTCCATGGACAATTAAGTCATACAGTTTAGCAGCCATTATACAATTATATTTGCTCAGTAAATGGTTGACCGATTCCAGATAGATTGTACATAAACATGACTAATAACACTGGAGCACTTACGTGTTCTTTCTCTCTTCATGAGCATCTCGGGTGGAGCGGTCATCTCGCGATTCATCTCTTCGGTCCCGCCTCTCTTCCCTCCCTTTTTCTCTCTCATCCCACTCCCTCTGCCTTTCCCTCTCTCTTTGCTCCCTTTCCCGTTCCCTCTCCTTCCTCTCTCGTTCCCTTTCTTTCTCCCGCTCTTCTCTCTCCCTTTCCCGCTCCTCTCTTTCTCTTTCCCGCTCTCTTTCTCTCTCCTCCCTCTCCCTCTCTCGCTCTTTTTCCCTCTCTCTCTCCCGCTCTCTCTCCTTGGCTCTTTCACGTTCTCTTTCAGCCTCTCTTTCCCGTTCTTTCTCCCTCTCTCTCTCCTTCTCTCTTTCCCGTTCCCTCTCTCTTTCTCTATCCCTGTCCTTCTCTCTCTCACGCATGCGGTCATCACGTCTTTCATCTCTTCGATCATCTTTTCTCTCTTCACGATCAAGGTCCTCACCGCGGTTTTGCTGGCGGACAGGAGTGGACGCTCTTGGTTCTGTTGGACAAAAACAGAACAAAAACACCAAAAGTTGCTTTCTATGTCCTGTGATGTTAAACATTGTTCACAGACTTGTGCACCCCATTTAACGTTTTCTGAAGTGAATCAATGTAAATTTCGATCTGTGTCCCAGACAAAGCTACTGTATTGCTTCAGAAGACTAAGCATCACAAACAAGTCATATTGACTACTTTTATGGTACTTTGTCGCTTTTTTGCAATTTTGGGAGCTTAACAGACAAACTGTCTTTCTATTCTCAGAGCTACATGAACATTTCTCACAAATCTCCTTTAGAACCTCACAGAAAATATAATGCCATACAGGTTTGGAACAACATTAGTGACATTAAAACTTTTATGGTACTTTGTCGCTTTTTTGCAATTTTGGGAGCTTAACAGACAAACTGTCTTTCTATTCTCAGAGCTACATGAACATTTCTCACAAATCTCCTTTAGAACCTCACAGAAAATATAATGCCATACAGGTTTGGAACAACATTAGTGACAGTAAAAAAAAAAAAAAAAATGAATTTAAAGGGGTCATGAACTGAGAAATCAAATTTCCCTTGATCTTTCGACATATAACAGGTCAAATGTACAATAAAAACATCCTGCAAGTTTCAAAACTTTCCTGTTACAGCTTTTATTGAAACCAAGCTCAGAAAACGACTCGTTTTGGAATGTGCCACTTTATGACATAATAGTGCAGCAAAAGCCCGCCTCTGCAAGAGAAGATCAATGTCTGCTTCTACATCACTGCCTCTTTAGCCCCGTCCACTGATACACACTTGTAGTAGGAGGAGAGGAAATACTAGAGAGACGCAAACACAGGTTTACTCCATCAACAGAACCATACAGATGACATTACAAGATTACAAGACACTGTGTAGTGTAAAGCCCTGTTCACACTGCCAGCGACACACAGCGACAAAGTGACATGCTCCCATTCATTTTCAATGGAGAGCTGGCGACTTCCGGCGACACGAGCGACAGTGACCGTTGGCGACAGAATGTGGGTGTGCCAAGAGATGCGAGTCAAGCGACAAAAGTTAAGAATTGTTTAACTTAATGCAAATGAACAGTAAATTTCGCGAGCGACAACCAATAGGAGTGAAGAATCTGTCAGTGGCACTCACACGTCACCGCCTCGAGTGCAGGCAAGGCAGGACAGATTTCCTGAGCGATTTCACTGTTTTATATGATGTTTGAAACTGAATCAGGTTCATCAGATCTGGTTTCAAACTGAATTGTAAGTGGTTTGTGTCTTTAGGAGCTGGATGTGTGCGAGCAGAAAATGACGGGGGGCAGTGAGAGTGCAGCAGGAGAAAAAGATGGAGGTACGACTCTCATCGCTCAGATCCCGGTTGGCTGGCAGAGGAAGATGGAAGCTGGGGCTGTATCTTACATCAGGTACGTCCACACCTTACTTTTTGTCATTCATACCGTATTGACCCGAATATAAGACGATGTTTTTTTCTTGGAAATACATCTGAAAAAACGCGTCGTCTTATATTCAGGGTCTAGACTTTGACATGTCAATAATTCACCCACAACAATAGGTGGCGCCAAATACGCATAAAACGAGTGTGCCATGAAATACGTAATGTAATGCGTGTTGTAAAGATCGCGAGTAAAAACAAAAGAATAAGAAAACCTTACAGCTGCATGAGTCGTGACTGTCATAGACATAATAAATACCTAGACGCCTCATTGGCCGCTCGACCGCACGTCAATGTCGCCGCCATATTGGTGCGGGCAACTCACATCGGGACAGAAGAAAACATACCTGACTCGTCGGCAGCTTGGGCATCTACAAACCGTCGCACAATAATAAATAGATTTTTCATAGCTTATCATAAATCTGTGGACTTATTATATATATATTTTTTTCGTTTTTAGCCAATTGCAAAAACAGGACAACGCAAGCCGAAGAAAGCCTGTCCTCTGCATTAGTTCTCTGAGAGTAGGCTATACTGAAAAATATGCAATATGAAAATAATTGAAGACAAAATGTGTTTTACTGAGAAAAAAAAAGATTTGTTTTTTAAAAAGCCTTTTTCCAAAAGGTACATCTGGAAAAAGGGGGGTCGTCTTATAATCAGGGTCGTCTTATATTCGGGCCAATACGGTATGTAAGCAGTTTAGCACTGGTTAATGATTTAATGAACGAGCACTGCTGTAGTTTATATAACAACACTCTCCAACAGCAGAATGGTACTTTTATTTATTTTAATTTAAGTCTAATTCCTAGTCATAATAGAATGATATCTTAATTTTACCGGCAATATATATAGTTTGTGATTGCATTTTCTAAAGATATATCCAGATGTGCAATCTACCACACAAGCGTCTTCACAGCACGGAGTCTAGCGACATACAGCGAAAAAGTCACTGGCAGTGTGAACGGGGCTTAAGCTGTGAAAAATAGTCTTTGAACTGCCTTCCTTGTGATCCTTACATATCTAAATCGGACGCAAGCGCTGTTGCGTCATGTCGCAAATAAATTTATCTTTCAGGTCAGAAGCAGCGCGAATGCTTGTATGTCAGAAATAGAGCAGGACATCAGTTTACTGTCTGAGATTTGTTGTGTCAATCTGTCACGCATCCAGTGTAGACAGAATCGCAGATTATAATGGGTTCTGTTGTCTGTAGTCGTGTTGCGCCTCTCACGTCCGGTGTAAACACAGTGTAAAATTAAGCAAAGAGCTCCAGATCGCGTCAGTGAAACACCGTTTGTTAGCTTTACTTTGCTACGGATTCATTTTTAAACAAGACCGTATGAGAGACTGAAAGTAAACTATACTGATGAAGCGCCGAGTCTGACTAGAGTGGATCCAACAGTAATGTCGCAACACATATGTGCGAGTAAACGTGCTTTTACCACTATTGCATTGTCTGTTCCAGACCGTTTGAAATATACCAAGTTTTTAACCCAAATGACCCATGTTGTTTTCAGAGTACCTCACAGCAGCGTCCATCTGTTATTTTAATAAGCGAAACTGTTAGCCAATCATAGCAGTGGGCATTTACTTGCATGACTTGAATGCGCCCCACTTATAAAAACAGACCATTCTGAAGAGAGACCAGTTTCTGAAAATAGCTTATTACTTCTAAATGATTGTTGTTTTTTTATGTCAATTTTTTTATGTAAAATTATGTAAAATCACACTAACATTATAAGTGAACCTCAGAGAACATTATAAAATAATTTAAAAAATGCATTTCATGACCCCTTTAATTTTCGATTGTACTATCCCTTTAAGTTTTGAGGTAGAAAGTGCTTAGTCAGAGAAATTTAAGGTGAGCCTTCAAAGTTAGGGGGGAAAAAGCATAATGCTATGTGGTACACTGGGGAGAAGAAAGAGACCATTTCTGAATGGATGCCAATGGAGGAGATTCTTCAGTGTGCTGAAAAAAACTGCTTTTGTGAAGAAACAGTTTACTGACTAATCTTCAACATGTTTGTCTATAAAATTAATTTTGATTGATCTATTTTTGGAACAAAAAATTGTGTTTTGTGTAAAGTCAGACATTTGACCTTACAACAGATGAATGACTGACAGACCAAATAGCCAATCAAATCCTTCAAGCTTTAAAACTTACTGAACTGTCAGAAAAATTCAAGCCTTAAATAAAACGATTCATTAAAAAAAAAAGATGAAGAAAAAGTGTGTTTGGGCAGTTTTCATTAACACTAGATCCAACTTAGGTGATTACATGGAGTTTAATATGGCAGTATGCCGCACCGTCAGAATATTTGAGGAGGATATTTGGTTTATTTTCTCTGTAAATCTCTACCTGCCGTTAGAGTGAACATTTGTATACTAAATGCAAATGAGGTTGGCATCTCCCAATAATAATAATAATAATAAGAAGAACATCTCTTGCTTATCGGTCACCTCTTTCTCTGATGTCACGGCGGTCTCTCTCTACATGTCCTCCCCGCCGTTCATCTCTGGGCTGTTCCCCTCTCTGTCTGTCATTATCGTAGCGATCACGATCAGTGTTTCTCTCTGAGCTCCTCTCTCTCAGACCACTGCTGCGGGACTCCCAGCTGTCATGCCCGCTAGCACTGCTAGTGTCAGCCTGTGACGCTCTACCACCACGAACAGAACCTGAAACACAAAATTCATCACAATCCTCTGCCCAAAATTTGTTTCAAGCACTCATATTATCGCAATACTCCTAAAATGCAATTCATAAATGTTAGATTTTGTGAAAAGTACAATTTGTATTGATGTTTACTAGCATTTTCTAAGTTGAAGCCCTCTCTCCTCCAGCTTTTTATGCTTTAAAGTGGTATTTTTGATGTGTAATAGCCCTTTTTACATTTAGTCATTTTGCAGACGCTTTTATCCAAAGCAACTTACAATTGGGGAATACATAAAAGTGATTCTTTTTAGATCTAGCTGACAAAGAATATAGCATGTCGTTATCTTCACACCTTTCTCTGTGGCATCCCCACGGCCCCTGTCTCTGCCTGTTCTTTCAGCCCGAGATTCGTTCCTGTTGTCCACTCTACTGTCATTTCTCAATTCCTCCCTTCCATGTCCTCTTCCATAATTCCTTTCCTCCTGGGCTGTCGTTTCATTTCGTTCTCGCTCTCGTTCCCGGTCTCTCTCTCTATGCTCCAGGGATTCTCGTCCGGAGCGGTCTCGCGGTTCTCCTGCGCGGGTATCCCGAGTGTCTTTGGCCTCCCCGCGGTGCTGGCGCTCTTCCCGGACATCTCTTCTATCCCGTTCACCACGCCGGTCTCGGCCATCCCTGGCATCACGGTCATCTCGAGAAGAGCTCTGCTCAATCTCATAGTCTCGCTCATCACGGCTGCTGTCTTTCTCTCGCTTTCCGCGGCTCTCTAAGGGCAGAAAGGAAATTAAGTGAGCAGCAGATTTAAAAGGCTGTCACTGACTAAATTATTCATTAGCTGCACATGGCCAAAAGTATGGTGGAAACCAAACAACCACATCCATACAGGGCTACATGACCCCAAAAAAAAAAAAAAGACTGGGAAGTTTAGCGGTGTTACACGTCACCTAAACTTTTTTTTTATAAAGGGGTGGTTCATTGCGATTTCACTTTTTTAACGTTAGTTAGTGTCTAATGTTGCTGTTTGAGCATAAACAATATCTGCAAAGTTACGAAGCTGAAAGTTCAATGCAAACGGTGGTTTAGCCAATCACAACACACTGGGCTAGCTAACCAATCAGAGCCCATCGCCTATTTCTGAGGGCAGGGCTTCATAAAAACAGGAAAAGATCAGCCCGTTTCTCAGAGAAGGGACAGAGCTGTGTAGAATGGAAGTCTGCCATCCTGCAGCTCTCCCGCGGGATCGACCGGATTTTTTGTGCCGCGGGATTAAACTCCCGAATAAAACGCGGTAGCTGTCGGTAACTCTTTTGTAATTTGAACGGGAGCGGGCGGTCTATCAATATCCCGTTCCCAATGTCCATTTAGAACAGCATATCTGCGCTTTATTCTTACTGACTGTGCAGCATGTGCATACCGATGCTCAGAGCAGGCTGTACCTGTGGTAAATATATGGCCCTCAGACAGAACAGTCAGGTTGTCGATGAGTGAGAAAGCAGAATAAGTGTGGATGCGCTGTCCTTGAAGGACGTTCAACTCGGTTTTGTTTATATTTTGCTTAACCTATCATTTTAAATGAAAGATGTCGTATTTATTTATTTTTCTCTGTGACACTTTTCCTACTGTGTTAACAGAAAAATGTCAAACGAATTTAGTATTTTGACAAGACGAATAAAAATAGCTAATAGGCTATTTTTGTACAACCTACATTTTTATTTTTTTTCTCTCTGCGACACTTTTTTCCTATTGTGTTGTCAATGTTAAACTAATTTTATCCTGACAAGACGAATAAAAATAAGAAATACAATTTTTGTACAACATTTTTATTTTCTCTGACACTTTTTTTTCCTACTGTGTTGCATAAAATATTAAACAAATTTTGTGTCTTAAGATAATTCATATAAATTCAGAATCAAAGTCAATAAATTCAATACTCTTGACAAGACGGATAAAATAACATACAATTTTGTGCAGACAACGCTTTATTTGTCAGCATATCTCTCTCTCTTTCAGTAGCGGAAATTTAAATGTGAGATTCTGGAAACAAGATCTAAATTTAGCGGGAACGGTCGGGTCGGGAATAAAATTATTCTAAGCAGACAGCGGGTGAACAAAGAGTGAATATATAGCGGGAGCGGGTGGGTGCGGAATAGAACCTTGCGAGAGCAGGACTAAAAAAACAGTCCCGTTTGACCTCTAGTGTGGAATAAAGGTAAATTATGTGAAAAATAACATGTTAGACTGCACCCCATAAACACAATCAAGCCTAGAAAAAACCCAGTGAACCACCCCTTTAATATCACCACTACTCATTTATTACAACAAATCTATATTTGTGAATGTGCACTAGTGTTCAAAAGCGTGGGGACAGTGAGTTTTTTTTTTGGAAATAAATTAATTTCACTCAGCAAAAATGCACTAAATTGAATCAAAGAATCCAGAAAAAAATATATGATTGTTTTCACAAAATATCAAGCAGCACAACTGTTTTCAACATTGATAACATTGAATAAATTCAAATAAAATAAAAATAAAAAATCATACCAAATAACACTTTTGAATGGTATTTGTACTTGCATTGTCATATGAACAACCAGTCAAACAGAATCATGAACCTAAACTATGCATCACATGGTTAAGACTAGAGGTCGACTGATGTATCGGTTTTGCCGATTAATCGGCACCGATAGTTGATTGCTGGAACTATCGGTTATCGGCAAAAATCCATGCCGATAGTTTTCCGGGTTGCGTCCATTGCTGGAGCGGCTGAGAAGGGTCTGCTGTCATTACACAGTGCGAGAGCGGCCTCTAGTGGTTGAAATCACTGACAGCACATGCTATTTGTTTAGACACGTGATACTGCACGCTGAACAGAGCGGGAAACTTCAGACGCGGATTTAAATGCAGCCGACAGAAAATCCTGCCGCGTGTGGTGGAAAAATTCGTTTCCATTGACCTTTGCATTTTCTTGCGTGCTTATGGGAAAATGATATAGTGCATGTGTTTACTTAGAACTGCTGTGTAGTCACGAGAAGAGACGGGTTTAGGGCTCGACATAAGACATATGGGTGACAAGAAAATCCCATAATGGGCTGAGATGGAAACAACTGGGAGACTCGTGACCTAGGGGGTCATCTAGACCCTAAAAACAAGGGGGACCAAACTTTAGAAGTATGATATAGTAAGTGTGTTTTTGACTTTATTACCATGTATGGAAAATACAGCTGTTAAGAGTTTGTAACCTTGACTTGGAAAAGAGATATAAAGGGGAGGCTTTGCCCTCCCTTCCTTGTCACACTCTGCAGCGACTTGTATCCTGTATGGTGTTTGACCTTCTTTGCAAAGAATAAAACCTTTAAAAGACATTGAGAGTGAGTTTGTCTCTTATGCCGATGAGAGTTATTTAATTTTGCCCCAACAATTTGGTGTCAGAAAGTGGGATTCCTTGGATGTGTCTTCTGGAACTGTGAGCGGACGGTGACTGCGCATCCTGGGCGATAGACGTTCAGCCCTAACCCCGAATAAATTAAAGGGAGAAAGGGACCGACCGCCGAGGCCCGGAGGGGACACCACTGGAATCAGAAAACGAACCTGGGTGGCAACAGGACTCTCGGTAAGAGACAAATCATAATCTTCTAAAGAATATGGGTTTTGGAAATTAATATTGGAATTGAGATAAGGGGGATAAACCATAGCGGTGTATCTGGCTCTGTGGTATGCGTAATCAAGAAGTTTCTAAGAAAAATTTAGATTATGCGGGTACAGCACAGTTAATATATTTTTGAGAGGAAATTGAAACCGCGGCAACGAGACGTGATCAAGAAGTTTTGAAAAATAAATTGAGATCACGTGTGACGCGGTTAACACATTTCTAAGGGGAAAATTGAAACTGTGTGTGTAATTAAACGGAGTGATAAAGCCTCCGCCTGGCCAGCTTTGGGAGAAAGGTCGGATCTGTTGGAGACGTCCAGCAGATTATTTAGGTGCCGAAAAGAAATCCACAGAGAAAGAGACAGCCAATATGGGGAAGTCCCAGAGCAAGCTCGCTAAATATGATACACCGGTTTTTTTGTCAAATGAAAAAATTATATGGCCAGAAATGCATGCAAGATATGGGGAAATTAATTAAGTATCATGATTTTCCAAAAGAGGGAACACTGAGTGTCAAAAGACTGAATGTTGTAAGGGAATCAGTGGAAGAGGGAAATAGCAAAAAACAAAGAGGGTGTTGTGTGAAACATATGTGTGAAAAATGTGAGCAGACAGTGAATTGTTGGATAGGGGAAGCAGATAAGAGAGAAAGAAGAGCAATGCAGAAAGAATTAGAAGGTAGAAAGGAGGAGAAGAAAAATGAAAAATGTGAAGAAGTAATTGTATCACATAGACCTACTAACCGCTCTGATGTCTCTGTCTCTAAACATGCACCACCGCCCTATCATCACTATCCCGTGGCGGAGCTGCAAGCCCTGAAACTGGACCCTGACCTCGACTGCTCTCCACCGAAAAGACCAACAGCACCGCGGACACTAGCAGAATGGAGACAAGAAATGGAGGAAGACCCCGAAATGATTCCTGAAACTCCCAACGAAGAGATCGAAGAAGAAATGGCAAGCAGAATACCCTCGCCAAAGAAAAGAAGAACAAGACGGACAATAAAAGAAGAAAATGTGAGTATAACAGCTCCAATGATCGAGGTATCAGGACCTGACAGCCCTATGATGGTCTTTAGACCGTGGACTGTAACTGACATGAAAGAAGCAATGGCTCATTTGCCAAGCCCTGACGAAGCAGGTGACAAATTTTCCACAGAATTAGTCACCTTCTGCCAAGAATTCAGCCCCACCATGCATGAACTGAGAAGGCTGCTGGCAGTGAAACTGGGGGCTACGAACTGGCATAAAGTGAGCGGAAAGCTGCAAAAGGAAGATTGTCGAAGAGAACACTGTGAATGGGACGACCAAGCAAATGTGAATTACCGCACAGCTGTTAAGGAACTGGCTGACGGCATAAAAGCAGCATTCCCAGCGCGTGTGGACACAGCAAAGATCGGCAATTGTTGTCAGAGCAGAGAAGAGTCGGTTCAAGACTATTACCATCGTCTGTATCTGATCTTCAATAAACATAGCGGGTTAACTGAACCAGAAGAACGAGGAAATCAACCTGACACATGGGAGTGTCATCTGCGAAGCTGGCTTCTGAGTGGACTGAGACCTGAGATTGCGCAAGCAGTCAAAACCAGCTACATTGAATGGAAAAATGGACGATTATCTGCTGTCCTAGCACATGCTTTGCACGCGGAAGAGCTGCAAATAGCGAAGAGAGAAAGAACAAAAGCCAAGACCGACAAAGAATGGCAGCTGGTCGTGGTGCAAGCTGTAACGGGACCGGGAGACTCTTCTGTGCAGCGAGATCAGCAAGCAAGAGGATGGAAAGGGAAAAGGCGAGGAGGAAACTACAAGAAGAGGACTGAGGGAAATTCTGAGAGATGGGGTTGTTGGATCTGCGAGACTGATGATCATATGACCAGAAAGTGCACCAAATGCAGACTGTGCAAAAAGGATGGTCATTGGGCCAGGGAATGCCCAGAGAACCAGGAAAATCAAGAAGCAGACTGAAGCAAGGGAGACGGAGAGCAGGGAGGAGGGGCCCAGGGCGAGCAGTCAACGGCCACAAGTCAGGGAAGTGAAAATTCTCTAAACACACACACACACACACACACACACACACACACACATACACTGATTTACATTCTGCTCTCTGCAATGAAGA